TGGCCACGCTGTAGGAGAGGTAAGTATTTCTTTATAAGCAAATTTGAGTTTAATGAGCCGCTTCAACTAAAACACACCAAGAAGCTGGTTCGGCTGCATCAGAGCTTCCACGGAGCCACCTGTAGATCAACATACGTGCAGCTGACTCTCGTGTAAGAGTCAAAGAAATAGGAAACTGTTACCAGAACATCCAAACTGGTAAAAAAAAGGTGGGCCTGAATGGGAGGTTAATTTCAATACATATTTGTAGTGCAAATATAAAACTCTCACTTCCTTAATGATAGTTCTGTGCAGCTTTACAGCTGCACCATCACGCTTAAAGTAGAACTATGAGCAACATTGGCACATATGATGCAGTCTGTCAATAGTGGTAACACATTGGTTTGGCTTTTCTGAATCCTCATGTAACATGGTTTCATTACCTGGTGATCTGGCCAGTAAGTCTGTTATTTTCCACTTCCATGAACAGACCAAGCTGTCCAGCAAAAGAGCAAGTTAGAGGGCTGAGGTTGGCCATACACTGCTCGGGCTGGCCATACCCGCGGGCTGAACAAAAAAAAATAGAGCAGATGCCTCCATCAACACTTAGGGGTTTGTTGATTGAGGAATCCCACTGTTTGCATTGTATCCTGACAGCGGCCGCCAGCACATTAGCTGTTGGCTCTGATTGTATGAGGATTTTCTGGTCAGCTCCTTCAATCAGCTGATCGAGGGGTGCTGGCTGAAAGGGTGCCGACAGCTGCACACACTGTGTGAATTTCGGCCAGTTCCTCAAAAACCGGCCAAAATTTGCACAGTGTATAGGCACCCTAGACCCCACATCCAGATCATCTCCAGACCAGGCCAGATTGTTTCGGACCCAAAATGCATCCTAATGTATCCCTATGCTATTTCTGGCCTCTGTTCACATCAGCACAGTCCGTTCCAGACCAGACCAATACTGCAAGTCCTATTTTGTCTGGTCTGGAATGCACTGGAACTGTGGGCAGGTTCACAATATTTTCCAGACCACGTCCGGTCCGGAAAATGATGTGAACCTGCCCTAAACTTGGTCACACACTAGTAGATTTTGGAAAGAACTTTCATATGAAAGATCTTTCGTTCAACTTTCTATTAGTTGATTGGATCAAATGGATTATCGATTTTGACCATAATGACGGAAAAAGTCGAAAGAGCAGAATCGAAAATTTTTCTCGAACAAACAAAATTCTCACAGTGAATGTGGTTTTCATTCAGGAAACTCCATTCATTCCAAACTTGAATGTTAAACAAAACAAAACAATTTCGTTCGACATTTCATGAAGTCTCTGATGGCATTATCGGGTGGTAAAGAAAGATCTTTCATTGGGAAATCTACCAGTGTATGGCCAGCTTTAGGCAAACCATTGACCACGGACAATGGTAAGCTTTTATTCATTCGATAAAACTTCTATCCAAAAAGGATAACTGCCTAAAAAATATTAGCAAGAGTTTGGCTTTACTTTGTTAGTCACTTATGTATAGTCCATCTAAATCTTCTAGTCCAGCTAACACCACCCTCTCCACAGGTTAACAATGCTGCTGTCCAACGGCCATGCTGCTCCTCCATAGATACAGTGGAAGAGTGAGTGTAGCCATTCTAAGACAGGAAGTAAAAAAACAAGGGAGAACCCACCCAAAAAACTAAACCATAATGCAGCCACCACATCTAAGGACTGTTAATCTGCAATATACAGTATAACATTTTTGTTTTTAAGTCTAGACATACTTTACATTAAAAGTAGGGCTCTACTACAAAGAAAGTCTCCTTCAGACTAGCGGCTTATAGAAATTCAAACACTTAATATTAAGTGTAATATTAAGGGCATATTAATAGTGAGCATTTCCATTCTGAAGCTGGGATATATAAGTGATGAAAATGAAGAGCAGATCTAACCCAAGAAAAGGTTCAGCAAGGTTGGATATAACAGGCGCTCAGCTGACTGTGTTCTGGGAATGAGCGGAATTCACAATAATGAAGCCTGATGAGACCGGGGCAGTGACAATCCAAACACCGTGCTTCTCTGTTCAGCTGCATGTGCAACGCCTGAATACACAGGCATAGGATACTGCCAGATCTTATGGACCTTGTTTTCACTAAAGACATTCCTTTCCAACACACATACTGAATATACATATGGTAAGGTTCACACATGTCCATTGTTCTGCTCTGTCTACGACGCCATTCTGTGCACCCGAGGACAGACCGGGTCTCTTTACACAACTGTACACGGAGCACAGTGACTGCTCAATAAGAGATCAGTCAAGTGGAAAAAGATTCCCTTTATGTGTGTCCAAGCTCAGTTTCCTTCACGTCCGGCAGTATATACCTGTTGATCCGGCAACTATCGCTTTGCTGATCTCACTTCCATTCGGAGGGCTGACAACACTGCAATGCCACTGCTGAAATTTCTGCAGCATGGTCACCCTAGCTCCCAACATCTTCTCTTAGAACTACAGGACATCCTCTGATGTAAAAGTAGTTGTCACTGTGGAGGAAGCACCCGCAGAGCACATACAGCTTCTCCCCTCCTCTTGTTCTGGAGTGAGTCCTGATGTAGCTCTCCCTGGAAGGGCTCTTGGGAAAGGTAGTCAGAACGAGAGGAGGACGTCAGCATGCCGACACCTCCTGACTTAGAAGATCTGGAGCTGTCTGTGACTGCAAAGAAGCTAGAAATGGTCCAGCAACTAGAATTTTTAGAAGGAGGTCAGCAATGGCAGCATGTGTGGCTTTTCTAGTATAGGTTCTCATTAAAAAGAGAAAGCAAGCTTTGTACCCAAAAAAGAAGGCAGAAGGCAAAGGGCTCATCACCGGTATTGACTGCGGTCTCCCTCCTTCCCCATCACTGACCATGCCCTGTTCTGCACTGTGAATAAGAAAAAAAAGAAAACTTGCTGCACTCATTAACGGGACTCCCCCAAAAAATCTCTGAGCCTGATGAAGGGGACCCTGCTTGGCCACGAAAGCGCTTGCCAATGAGACAGCATCTGTCAATAAATGAGCATCTAATTGCTGTTATTATCGTTGTTGGAGTGCTGGTGACGTCTTTCTTTTTGTCTGTACTCTGTTTGAAGGCGGCCATTTTGTTAGATGCAGGGTTTTGTTTCCTCATGTCAGAACCTCCAGCAAGGAGAACAATGAGCAGCACAGTAGTGACATCACCAACTCTCACTGCCAATCTCCTGAGACCAGCAGACTGGGGCATTGGTGCCTTAAGTCTCACACTGCAGATATACAGCTGTAGGTACAAGTACAAATATTTCAGGGTATGAGGGACGGTGCACACCTAGGCGATCTGTCACCATGCTGCAATTGTGCACGATACCACGCGGATTGCCACGCAGTCGCCCATCACAGACAGTCGTGCTGTGGGTGCCATTATTTTCTAATGGCATCCCAAAAAAAAAAAAGAATGTATGTGTACCCTTTTCTGCGATTGCCACGCGGATGTCACCCTATTGAAATCAATGGAGCCGCGCAGCAATCGCTGTCTGCAATTGTGCAGGACCGCACGGTCCTGAATCGCTCAGGTCTGCACCGGGCCTCGCGCAATTAACATTTACAAATGTCTCCTTTAGCATAGCAAACCTCTACTTGTTGAGTTTCGGTCCACTGTTTGCCATTACCATGAAAACTCAAAAATGTGCAGTCACTGAAATACACTCCCTTAAAGGACAAGCCCACCTAAAACTGGAATTTCAGTTACAGATTGATATCAGCGGTTGAGGCACCAAAGCCAGAAGAAGCTTCAGTTACATATGGAGGACATTAGAATATTGTTTTACTACCTCTGGTCTACCACAATAAAAGAGCACTGTTTTGCAGCCACCCATAAAGCCAACATGTAGACAAATTAAAGAATGCACGGCTTTGATTGGGTGCTGCGTGCACTGGCTTAAGTAAAATAGAAATATGCAAAAGCCAACATTGCCCGATTCAAAGAAGGTTCCCCCACTTTGTATGAGTTCTGTTAAAAACAACCACTCTAAGGTTTTCACCGTTGAGTTCTAAAACTTCGGCTCAGCGTCTATTGTGGGTGACTCTTGTAATGGATTCAGCAGCCTTGTGACAACTGCACCCGGGAGAAGTACGAAGCGCAGCTGAGAAAACTTCCACAAAGATGGCCAAAAGCTATCTTTGTTTCCACGGCCATGCACTGCACTAGTCAGGAGCAACAGTTGCATAGATGTCCTGCACCTGTCAATCAAGCACTCCCGTCTGCCTATATCTGCCATTCTAACTGCAGCCAGCGGTTACATTTAACAACTGCTGAAAATTGGAAAATTGTGGCTCACGTTGGTAATAGTAGTTAGCCACATTCAATTGGACTTCCGTAATGTTCAAGGCGTTTCGAAGCTTCTCCAAGCCACGTCTTCAGTTCCAATGAGCGTCAGGAACATACCCCAATCCTGTTGTTGGACAATCAACATCTGCACATTCTAGGTGATCAGATTAAGGCGTCTGTGCTCCCTTTGTGAATATAAATCCCGGTGTACGTTCCTAAAACTCATTAGAACTGGAGAAGTGTTGTGGAAAAGCCAAGAAACATCTTCAACGTTACAGAACAAGTCCAGTCCAATGTGGCCAACTATTACTAGCTATACCATGACCTGGATAAATGAGAACCTTCACCGACATTGTGGCTTGCATAATTTGGCAATCACTTTGGTAGCAACTATTTTAAAGCTATTAAAAAGCACCATTTCATTCACAATAAATAAAAGCAAAAAACAAAAAACAAAGCAAAAAATACAACAGATCCCACGCCATCCATCAAACTGTTAGAAGACAGCGTTTCGCAAGCTCTGCCAGCGCAACCTCCTTCCCCGAGACATAACTGTTTAAACCCTCATGGCGGAATCAGTGAGTGTTGAGCCAGGGAGGTCCAGCGTGCTAAGCCGTTCTCGTACATATGCTATTAGTCTACCACACACCCCCTATTACCATATTAAACGGTTATGAAAGCACAAGCAGTACCCACCTAGTACGTAGTCGCTGCAGTCCAGCATGGTGTTACGCCGAGATCCTCTACTTGGATTCCCAAACAGGTGGAAGGAAGAATCTGCCTAATAATTCTATAGGAGACGACTAATTTAGACGAGGAAAGGGAGGAGGGTGGGGGGGAGAAACGAATGATGTTACACAGGCAAGACCATAGCTGTGGCACAAAAACTGAAGACAGAAAACTTGGGTAGTTTGCAGTGCAGAGTTTTTTTAGCTTCTCCTGCTAGCTCGTTCTGACATTGTCAAGGCAACTGAAGCGTGAAAAAGTTCCCCTTTTTGTAATAAAATAGAAACAAAGATTGCAGCTGGCAGTTTCCATAATGAAGCTTAATCAGTATGCGGCTGATTAGGGCCTTATGCAAATCTTCCCTCGTTAGCGCAGCAGCCAGCACTTTGAAGTCCGTGAGCAATTCATTTGCAGAGTACACTGAAAGCGCTCCCTGCATAATTTAAAATCGCGGCATAAATATTTATCAGCTCATTTGCATATTAATTGGTTAGCGCAAACATTCCAAGCAGCACAGCAGCCGGGGAGAAAGAAAAAAAAGTGCACGGAAAAAGGGAGGAGGGGGGAGTTATCTGCGGAGTGCCAGCATAATAATTAACGGGAACAAAATGAAATTTCTTCCACTGGATTGGCTTCTCTGACCTAAGCAGCGAGTTGTAAAGTGATAAGATGGGGGGCTGGCTAAGGGGGTGGATTACTAGGAGAAAGTTATGGAATAGAAGGAATGTTATATA